TGTTTATTACGATGGGTAAAGAGATAATCAAACAGGCGTGGCTGACGCGTTTTTACCAGCTTTGCCATCGCAATAGTGGCGTACACATCAGCCATCGCATCGTGGGCGTTGCTATGTTCAATACCATTCGCTTTGGTTAAATGCTCAAGGCGAAAGCTCGGTAGACCGTCATCATTTTCAGGCCAGTTTATTCCTTCCGGGCGCAGGGCATAACAGGCACGCATAACATCCAGTAAATCCCAGCGCGAGTTATCATGCTGCCAGCTCCAGGCGTAAGGATCGTAGAAATTACGATAAAAAATGTTGCGTGTGACTTCGTCGTCGAAACGCACATTGTTGTAGCCCAGAATACAGGTCTTCGGTACGGTAAAAAGCGAGTGAATACGGGCGGCAAACGCGGCTTCGTTTTCTCCTTTCGCCCGTGCTTCCTGCGGGGTAATACCGGTAATTAATACGGCTCCTGGCTGGGGTAAATAGTCATCAGCGGGCTTGCAGTAAAAGACTTCGGGTTCGCCGATGACATTGAATTCGCCCTTGAAATGACGATCATCACTACCGCTTTGGCATATATATTGCCCCTCTCGCCACCGAGATGCAACCCCCACTAATCACTTTCATACCACAGAATCCACACAATGCATCTCTCTACGCTGTTCCTAACGTTCCTAACCCTCTCACCCACCCTCTCCCAACCAACATCACCCATATCCGTCACCCAACTCTTCAACTTCAGCATCTCCACTGACATCGAAAACGGCGCCATCGACCCTGTTACTAACACTCTTCTCATAACCACCTTCACCGACGCCCGTCTCTACGCTCTCGACCTCAATGACCCCCACCCCACCGCCAACCTCCTCACCTCCTTCTACCCCAACGCCACCGCCATCACTGGCATAGCCCCCATCGGCCACGGCAAGTACGCCATCACCGGCGGCGTCCGCGGCAGCTACCACTACTACAATGAAACTATCTACACCATAGACTTTGGGGCCTACGCAGCCAATGCCACTGCTTCCCCGGTCACCAAAGCAGTCGCGCATCTCCCGCAGGCGATCATGCTCAATGGCCTCGCTTCTCTCCCACGCCATCCCACCACTGTCCTAGCAGCGGATTCCCGTGTGGGGTGTATTTTCCGCATCGACACGCTGACCGGAACCTCGGACATCGTTGTCCAGAGCGACGCATTGTCGGCTCCGGCGAATGGGTCATCGGAGATCGGGATTAATGGATTGAAGACACACGGGGAGTATGCGTATTATACCAATACTGCGTTGAAAACTTTTGGAAGAGTGAAGATTACCGATGATGGTACTGCGGTGCCTGGGAAAGATGGCAAGGTTGAGGTGGAAGTTCTTGCCACGTTGAACCCCGGAAAGGAGGAATACCAGTGGGATGACTTCGATTTCGATAAGGAGGGGACAGCGTATGTGGCTATGGCAGGGTCGGGTGGTAGGGCAATCGGAACGATTAGTCCTGATGGTGATGTCGAGGTGTTGTTTACTAAGGTGATCCGTGGGCCGACTTCGGTGCATGTTGTTGAAAAGGAGGGGATGAGGAAGAAGTTGTATATCACTACTAATGGGAACGGTGGACAGGTTGTGGAGGCGGTGCTCTGAATGGAGTCAGGTACATAATGTGCCACTTAGAGTGGCTTAGCTTTGTGGTTGACCGTTTCTGTTTGAAGGACAACTGAAGAGGTTGAATTAGGTATCGATTCTCTGGTTGAGGGCTGGCTTTGTTTCTGTCCGTATTCACTGACTCACGATTTGACCCCGGCGAATGGGCAAACATGTTGCTCCCCCAGATATCTCCCTAACTGAAAGTTTAAGACAGGGCAATAATCAAACAGTCAATAGCCCTCACATGTCACATTGTTCCGACATATATTAAAGCCGAGGAGACGAAATGAAGTCAGGTTGTCAGGATCCCATTCTGGTGCGCTTCAGGAGTGAATCCTCCGGATCTAAATTGATAGGTTATCTGGTAACGTTAAAAGATTAGAATTCTGAATCAACAGAGTCAGAATGCGCATGTATTATGAGCTTAGGTGAATGTGACCGTCACAATAGTCTGTATCTTTGAGTAACATGATAAATGTTAAAAGCCTGTTTGAGGTCCATATCCCAGCATGATAGTTGTAAACAAACCCGATAATGCCTATTACATACGCCTAGCACAATGAAGGCTATCGTTATAAATGGCCCAGATTAAGTTACTCCCGGAAGACTTTATGTCAAGCATGCAAGGTTAAGCAGGGAGTAAAACAGTATGTCGGGTAAAACGATGATGAATGGCTGCTCGCAAGCGTTCATACAGACCATTACGAAATAATTTAGCATTGTGTTTTATTTCAATCTATTACTGTCGCTTTCTTTCGTGTCATATTGGGATTTTTATTTGTTGATGTGGTGAAATGGCATTCCAGGCTAAGTTCTATTTATTGAATAGCACCGAATTGAATTGCTCAACCGACTATTGGTGAATTACTTCTGTAGTCCGCTACTTCTCACCTTTCGTATAAGCTAGTACAGGGGTAAAACTTCTTCTTTCCCATGACTATCACTACTTTGATGAAATTCATCCTAGCCAAGTATCCTTACTCGAAGCTTTGTCATTGTCCCTACCCGAAGATGTTTTCTGGAATCTTGAAGGGCATCGCCTTACTAATTCTCATCCTGTTTGTTCGCTTCAAATATACTCACTCCTTTCTGCACAAGACAACGATCTTCAAGACACCTAAGCAATGTCATATGATCATCGCCGCAGATGGCCAGTTCTTTGACAAAAGAAACCTGTTGTCGCCCTACGAGGCTCGCACATTTTCCAACTCCCGATTCAAATCAGCTTTCTGCATCCAAAATGCGTTCACGAGCTCTGACCAAGACTTTGTGAACGAGCATGTGAAAAATATCAAGGTGCTCATAAATCTGACTCCTCTGGAGTGGAATCATCTGTCCCAGTCTCTCCAGCAGACTGCCCGCTATTGGGTCAACTCATCAGAGGGCACAGTCCACTTGGCCGGCATTACTCAGACTCTTTCTCTGCGGTTGGTATTGGTGGGGGTATGCAAGCTAGATTCCAGGATCTCAGTTTCTGAAGACCCCTACTTTGCTGACTTTGCACGATGTATCAACAAATCTTGGATTTTAGCAAAAGGGCCTGATATTCTTCCCTTTGAAGACAATGAAGAGCTACAAGACTATATCGGTATTTTCTTTCCTTCATGTGGTCCAATTCAGCCTGAAGAAAATCCGTTGAATGTGATCCTTCCGGGCTATGAGACTAGTTGGAGAGTGGCATTACGAATGTTCCTCGAGATTAGGCGTGCTGAAAACCAAGTTTGGGTTGATAAGATGGTGAGCTTTGCCCTTCACCCTACAAAAGTACAGTTCCAGGACAATAGCGACGGCATTTCTGCCGAAGCATTGCTCTCTGAGGCCCTTCGTCTGTATCCACCTACCCGACGCATCCGTCGCACGTTCCGCTTTGAAAATGGCAGGAATGGTGCAGTTGATGAAGACACATTCGCAGCAGATATTGAGGCCTGTCATTTGGACAAAAGTATCTGGGGAACAGACGCTCTGGAATATAAGCCTTCGCGATTTGCTACATTGACCGATGAACAGAAGGAAGCTTACATGCCCTTCGGCAGTTCCCCATTCTTATGTCCCGCGAAGCCTGTCTTTGGGCCTAGGATGATCGGGATGGTGGTCGGGATCCTGTTCTTTGCATTGCAGGAGGTAGGGAGCTGGAGGCTAGTTGGAAGGGATACACACTCTGCTAATGGCTATGTGTCTGGTGAGCGATTGAACAACGACCGCGGTGCATTTGATGATTTATTACTGTATCTGAATACTAAATGAGGAAAAGGAAGGCTGAGTTGGTTCGGAGAATTTCTGCCCCACTTAGTCTCACTGGAACGGTGTTACAGATCTTGGGCACATAAAATATTCTTGTGCCGGGCTTTCAATTTGGGATCTTGGAATCTGCCTGATCTTCTTGTCCATTCTGATACTAATGAAACAATTTTTGATCAAGACGGCCCCCAATAACTAAGATCCGCATATCCGATGGAGCATGGCTGCTTATGGAGGGCAATAGCGGCCATTGGGCAAAACCAATTTCTTGAAGCTTATTGCCCATATGAGGAGTATGAAGTCGGTTTGGAATGCGTAGCTTATCTAACATATCTATTTAATGACGTTGTACATATATCATTAGATGATTTGCTTAGTTTTGCTGTATAGACAGCTACTGGTTCCAAGCATTATGAAGGAAAATAAGTCCTACCCAGGATATTATACAAGGTACTTTAAACTACTAAGGTGCATATTAATGTGGATAAGTCGAAGGTCGAGATTTTATATCTAGCTAGAGAAGAGTGGGATCATCATAATTCCCGGTCTCTTAAGAATAATTAAATAGCTGGTATTCTGTCCCTCTATATTCTCAAATAAGGAGTATTATATACAGAGTCTTCTACCAAAGCCCTGCCTTATATAGTAGTAATATATATATTCTTTTTAACATTTGTCCAAACATAACTCTGTAAGCAGTGACATGCTGCCCTATTCGACTATTTACGATTAGCAGATAATGGACAACTTCCACGGGATTGGATGATGCAGGTATTATTATATGGGAGCCGGCGAGACTTAAGCTGCTGAGCTGTGATCCAGCCACGTCAGAATTCAACATCTTGGCCAGGGATGGCAGCCACCGCTCTCTGTACATCATTGTGCGCTTGTTGAGTCACCGATGGCCAGTAACTAGACAACTCAAATTTGATGAAAGCTCAAGACAAGCAAAGCAGGCAGAAAGATACTATACGACATCTGCAACTTTGTTAGTGCAAAGTCGTTAGTCCTATAATGCCTCTAATCAAATGTTCCTCCAGCCCCTGTCATAGGAGATGAGTCGGGCAGCTGACTCACGAGATCTTGGCGAAATGGACAATATGGACAGGATTTTTAGCATCCTACGTACTCTGCAAAAGTGTCAAGAGGTTGTAGAAAGCAAAAAAAATATTTAACAGATAAGTAAATTGTTGCAAGAAGCCTCTTGGAAATGGTTTGCTGGCTTTCCAATACAGTCGAATTTGGAGACGTCATCATTAGTGTGATGAGTCCACAGGTTTCTCAAATACTAATAGAGAGCATCCTTCTGTACCGCACGGCATTCTTAGCTTCGGCTATTGCTGATACCTCCTAGTCACCTGTAGATCGCAATGCACCGTCCGTATATGCCTACATTGGCCGAGTGTTCATATTGTTTTTGTCTGCTTGTATTTTGTCCCCGTTTGAATGCTATAAACAGGGAAAGCACCGGCACCGAATAAGATACTTGGGGCACGCAAGGCTTTATTGCATGAAATATGTCGATATGGGGTGGCAATGAATAGGGTTCAGAGATATCATTTTACCAGGGGGCCACAGTCGTACCCATAGCAGATTGTATTCCAAAGAGAAGGTATTTATTTCAGACATCCCGCGATAACTCGATGTAACGAAATTGTAGATAAATTGAGACAGTATGACGTATATAGCATGCAGAGGCTAAAAAGAACAACAAGGTAATTGAATTCAAATCCAGAGTACAAGCTTGTCAATCATAGACATTTTAATGGTACATTGTACTTGATATAAGCCTATAAACCCGTCTCTGCCAAGACTATTCGCCTTCTAGCCGTCGGAAGGACATGAAGGGGCAATTGGTATTTTTTTTTAATTTGACATCATTTGCCACGCCGAAAGCTTTTATTACTGAGACTAACCAGAACGGTAGGGATAGATCAGGCTGGTACAAAATCTTAGAATTGCACGCATGATGGTTGCAATAAACTAGCAAAGCGATACTAGAAGTAGAACGGTGAGGTGTATGAGACCACGGGTCATCATGCCCACTAGTGCCTAGTACATTTGATGGAAATATGTATACATCTCTCACCTACCCACTGGTATGGAGGCAACTCCAGTTCCTCTCTTCTGCAGGCGCGCAGATACGTGTGGTACTCGTTCTAAATCAACAGTTAGTTTGCTTTTAGCATTCAACTGGATTGATTTGATTATATTGATTGGTTCAAAGACATCCTGGGCGGCCTGGTGGTTAGTGCGGAAGAGGAAGAGGTGGTGATAATGGTAAGTAAACAGGTCAGGCGAGCTTTATGTTAGTTATATATCGCGTGGCCCCTAAAAGTTTAGCGCGGGTCTGACGAGACTGAAGTATCCTTATGCTCCTGGAATTTTGCCGACGCTGTAGGTAATAATGGCAGTGATAATTAATTATTGATGAAATGGAGCCAGCTCTAATTCATCTCTACCTCAATGAATAAAACTTGCTGATTTATGACTTGGCCTGATAAGCATCTTATGTTGCCAATTTTTAGACGGATGAGCGATGACGGCGTCTCTGTGAACCTTCCTTGACTTAAACGGAATAAGCTGTTTCAAGTCCTACGATCAATCATAATCAATCTCAATTTGCGAAGAGGGCTTGCCAAGAAGCATGGAGCGTGACAATGACAACCCCGACCACATGCGATTATCTCTGACTACCTCTGACCTCGAGCCGATAAACCTTGTCTTTCACCTACAGGAGCAGGACCATGATCAACAAATTAGAGTCATCTTCGATAATAAACATACTACGCATTCTATGATTTATATACAAATGCCGAAGCAAGCTTGTGCTCTTTGGCATAAGCTAGAAGTATGGAAAATCGGTCGGCACTCCATCCCTTAGGTCCCGCCACCCAGAGATAAGACGATCTCTTCTGTATGTACTCAAGGGTCAGATACCATGAACGTCGCCTCAAAGTTCTCAGATCTCGTCTTTTCTTATAGATCCAACCGACTCGATAGGCTCATTTTTATAATCTCAATGGCAGCAATGATGATCTTTGCAAGATCGACAACGCAAACAGGATCTTCAGCATCATATGGGCCAAATGTCTCTAAAACAAGAAATTTATCAGTTGCTTCATTATTCTTGAGATACCTCTCAAGTTCCTCCTCATATTTGGCAAATGTCAAGAATATCTGGTGCCGATTCTGGGACATAAGGAGAAAACTGCATGAAAATCAAGTGTCAGCTACTTGCTGAAGAAGCCTTCTCTTGAGAGCTGACTTACTGGCCTCGAAATACAGCTGACTTTGGAGACGTCATCATCCATGCAATAAGCTCACAAGCTTCTTGGATGATAAAGGAGCGCGACCGGAGACCCTTCTTAACTTCGGCGATAGAAAAGACCTCAAAATCACTTGTAGAGCGCAACGCTCCATCTGTGAAGGCGCAATATCGTCGCTTATCGCCAAAATCGGCAAGAAAGCCAGTCCTATTCAGCACCCACTCAAGGTCTGTGCGTTCTACTATGTGCGTAATCTCTTGAAGCAAAACGATAAGCGCCGCATTTGGCGTTGCTTCATCCTCCGCATCTCGGAATTTTTCGACCTTCTGATTGCTGGCTCGTCTGACTCGGTCGTGCGTTCCTTGTACTGTGGCTGTTTGCTCCTGCAGCCGCTTGGCAGCCATGAATGATCCGGGCCAAAGGTCACCTTGTATTTCCCTGAGTTCCCGGATAGATATGCCTCGCTCAAGAATCCGGATGTATTTGTCCCAGTCCCGGGATTGATGGAGCAGATTCTCTGCCTGGCTCAGCAGGTGATCACTGAATCCAAACTTGTTCATGTGGTTACCGAATTCGATGTTAGATACAATTCGAGGCGAATAACAGCGTAGCATTAGATATTGTTTATTGGACGCTTTTGAAGCTGAGCCGAACATTCCGCTTGGCAAGGTTTTGATAGTTAAATTTTCCAAACGTCCTGCCTGCACAAGAGCCTCCCATTTCTGAGGATCAGTTGGTACCTTGAATCCTTCAATCTTCCCCAGTTCTTTTGCGGACTTTTTCTTCGCTTGCTCCTCCTGGTTTGGAGGACTGGCCTGTTTTCGATTCGCGGCCTTCTTGGCCTTGGCCTTCTGAAGAAGTTCCATTTTCAGACAGGATTTTAAGAGATAAGCGAGGACTCTGCACAAGGAAAAGCAGCTGCGCAAGAGAGCCAATATTGTGAAAATGTTAGATGTAGAAGATTGCGTCCAAGTGTGGGAGTTGTGTGCCGAATCTAGGTGTTTTCTGTTTGCTGTGACTTCAGTCGTGTTGTACAGACCCACTAGAGTACTAGAGAGGAAAGAAATTACGATGCACTGTCTATTAGAAAACATATCATCAAGAACTGAGCTAGGACAATAGTGAGATTTATTCAGACTAGCGAAATGCGGAGAGGTAGGAGACCGAATGTCCTTCTGCAAGACCATGCAGGTATTAATATAAGCTGTCCCTACGGCGAATGAAAAGAGGGTGGACGGTTTCCTCGGCTTGGGCAATGGATCACTATCAGGCCGATACATTGCCCTGTAATCAGGGGGAATCAGCCATCGTCACGGCGGGGCCAAGCCAATGGACGGGCACATTGCCTAGTATTATCTCTTGGATATGGCTGGTAGTCTAGTCTTGTAGAGGAGAAAGCAACAAACGCAGGTGACTATTTGGTAGTAGGATGTTGTCAAATCTCGTGTTTTCTTTTCTCATTCAAGTCTCTTTACATGCAATTTCATATCTGATTAGCCCCATGGACCCAGTTTCCTCGGGTACGATAGTACTAAGAAGTTGGTGAGAAGCCAAAGATGATAGGTACTACCCAGCCGCACTTGCTCCGCACCCAAGAGTCCCGTCTTAACTATCAGTGTTTCGGGGATTTTTGATATCCGGAATGGGAGATTTAAACAGGTCACAGGCACCTCGCCAGAAAGATCCCACCCTTAATGATATCAACTCTCTGCTCCTGATTTCCCGACCTGGATTGTCGCCCGGGAGTGGAGGGACTGCAGCCCCTGGCTGTAAAGACCTGTTAGTTCCTCACCTAAAAAAAGAAAAACTGTCATAGTCAAATGAGAACCTACTTTGGTCATGATGTGCGGATCCATCGTGTTCCCGATCATTCTGGAGCACATAAAACTCGCCAGGATGTCCATGCTCGCAATGGCTGCATCTCCGTTCACGAAGCTAAGGAAATCGGACTTTCGAATGACGAGCCCTCTATAATCATAGTGGGCCTCCAGAATTCTGAGCTTGAATCCGGGAAAGACGCTTATGACCATTACCTAGGTTTTGAGTGAGTTTCAAGAGTTTTTCGAAGAACAATGACTGGAAGCCGACCCGAAGATCCCACTTACAGGAATGACATTGTGGTTGAGACATTCATCACCCTCAAGCCTAGACAACATCACCGTCAAGATGACTACTGCCTCGTATCTGGAAAGCCTCTCATCTGCGTCAGACTTTGTAAGCGTTGCGAGCAGGGTGTGGGGCCGGTTGAGCTGATTCCTAGCTATATAACCGAAGTATAGCATTGACCCACGCGATCCGTAAAGTGGGCCTTCGAATTCTTCGGCGACGAGCTCCGGTATAATATCCCCGCTTGAGATAGGTTTGTCAGCTCCAGAACAGTTTTCAAAGTTGTACACACCCATGGTTTCCCCGGGCAGAAAATGCTCACCATTCGATCCACTTTGCGTAATCCGACAGCGTATTCGACCACCCATACTCTGATTCATAATCGCGTGCGCTTGTACAAAGAATGTTTTCAATACGGTACATCAACATATAGATTTGATCTGTCACCGTTGGTGGTCGCGGGGTGGGTTTGTCCCAATTTTCGAAGATCTCCTTGACAAGCTTTTGGCCCTGATCTTGCGTAGGGTGAGGTTGGGGGACATTATGCGTTCCAAGAGGTTCAAAAAAGACTGGCGAGAGCTCATCCTGATTAGTTCCTCTTTTCGAGATGTGCAAATCCTCACAAATGACACCGAGAGTTTCTTGAATATTAGGCTCAATCCACGCGGCTTCATGGTTCGCAACTGCTTCGAAGGTCTCACTCATTTTATTTATCACAAGGGCGCGTACTTCTTGGTGCCTGACTTGGTCTTGGGTAGAACGACCGAACAAGAAACGAAGGTGTCCAGCCATTTTGTCGTAATTGCTGGTTTCGGATCTGTCTTTGGCTAAGGGAAAGATATATCAGCTTGGACTTTGGGTTCAAGAGGGCGTCACGAAGACAAGGAATAATCTAATGATTTCATTTAAGAATGAGGGGGCTGGGAGGTTCAGATTTTGGCAATAGGAGGTGAATGCTCACTGTCACATAATAAGCACATTGTGCAACAACGCATTGGTGTCACCCAAACCAATAAAGGTGGGCTCCGGATAGGAGGTATCAGTCACTGTTAGTAGAGTCCAACAACTGAGAATGCTGTCACAAATCTGAAGAAGAGGTGATAGTCACAGACTTCGACCTCTCCAACGGGCCTACCATCCTAATAAATACCAATTTAAAGTAACCATGGGTGGCGGAATGACCCATAGTTCTGTCAATGGCCTTGCACCATTTTTACATGGGGAGCCAATGCATGAGAGCTTCGGCAAAGCTCATCGTTCCCAGAACACGAAGAGAATATGTGAATAGAATTTGTCAACTATCTGTCAATCTCTCCCACTCAGATACTGTGGAACTACCCTTCTAAATGCGTTAACAATTCACAATGGGGATTAATGATTAACTAACGGACTGGACACAGATAGTAAGAACTTCCAAACCTAAATGTCAATGCGGAGAAAACCCCGAAAGTCGTACGGATTCCCCCGCGCGCCGGGAATCTTTCCGACCTCCAACGAATTTTCCTCGGTCTCTCCCAGACATTGAATACGATCAAGGCCAAACGATTTAAACGCCATGAAAAAGTCGCAGCTACTACGATTGACCACAGATTAACCTTTCATTTTCTAGTGGCCATATTTATCCATACAACAAAATGGAATACCAACGCCTCGGCAAAAGCGGCCTCAAGACCTCCAAAATCATCCTCGGATGCATGACCTTTGGCAATCCCGCATGGGAAGGCAGTCCCTGGGTGCTCCCCCAAGACGAAGCGCTCCCCTTACTCAAAAAAGCCTTTGACAACGGGATCAACACTTGGGACACAGCGAACACTTACTCTAACGGGACATCAGAGATCCTAATCGGAAAAGCCTTAAATAAATACAACATCCCGCGAAGCAGGGTAGTGATTATGACGAAGCTATACTATCCAGTCTTCGACCCTGATTCCCCATCGAGACCTAATCCCGCCATCAACGACGGTGAGCTAGTGAATCAAATGGGCCTAAGTCGAAAACACATCTTCGACGCGGTTGAAGGGTCACTCGCGCGCCTGAACACGACGTATATCGATGTTCTGCAACTACACCGACTGGACGATACAGAAGCAGAGGAAATCATGTGTGCACTGCATGATCTCGTCCGAATGGGCAAGGTTCATTATCTGGGTGCGTCAAGCATGTACTGTTGGCAGCTGGCGAGGTTGCAGTATGCAGCGAAGATGAATAATTGGACGACGTTTACTAGTATGCAGGGGCTTTGGAACTTGCTTTATCGGGAGGAGGAGCGAGAGGTTAATGCGTTTTGCAGGGCTGAGGGGATTGGGTTGATTCCTTGGAGTCCATTGGCTCGTGGGTTGTTGGCTAGGCCGTGGAATGCGCAGACGTATCGGTCTAGTCAGGATAAAAAGACGGTTAAGTGGTTCTCAGGGACACAGAATGAGGTTATTGTTTCACGGGTGGAGCAGTTGGCGAAATCGAAAGGGTGCAGTATGAGTGCTATTGCTATTGCGTGGTTGTTGAAGAAGGGGGCGTGTCCGATTGTCGGGTTGAATAGCATGGAGAGGATAGAGTCGGCGGCCGAGGCATTGGGTGTTCAATTGTCCGATGAAGATGTTAGGTTACTTGAGGAAGAGTATAGACTTCTTCCTGTCGAGGCTATATAGTTACATTAGATGAAGGGGTGTTTATAGTCTGCGCGCCTTGTTAGGACCGATATACAGGTAGACCGTCCTTGTTATTGTGTGCCGATACAAGAAGTGGGAAGGTATTACGAGCTTTTTGGACATATAAATCATTGTAATCAATTTTAAATACCGAGCTTCTGTCTAACATAGCTATGGCATGAAATTCGACACCAAATCTGGAAAGGTAAATTCTCCCATATCCGTAAACAAGAAATCGTCAACTGGAGCCTCACTCGAACCCAACGGAAAAATATTGTTCATAGACCCCAAGGTCTGAGTTGAGGGTCCAGGACCTCCATGTAATTCCCGCATGCTGAACAGTAGTAGACAAAGTGTTGCCAGTATGGCTATTTTCGGACAGACTACCCAGTCCCAGCATAGTGACCGTCTCGGAGAGCTTTCGATTCAGCCCAGGAGCCATCCGGCGGAGTGGGTGATATGTAATGCAAGCTATGTTGCGAAAGACGCCTAAGACCGCATTAATCAGATGAAGATCTCCAGGTAGATCAATGTTCAATTGCACATGATGATTGTGACATATCTCCAGTAACAAGTGACCGGCAAATGCGATCATTACATGGAAATAATGTGGCATGCCGACGAGATTCTCGCTCATATGGGGATCATTTAGGATCATCTCAAAGATGGTGACCGTCGCCTCATGAGCCATGTGAGCCGCAGACAGAAAGTGCATGGGGATAGGGTTGCCACGGAGCCCCTTGAACACTTGTTGGCCAAGGTAGAGTCTCCCAAACTGATAGTGCAACTCCAGCCCTCTTCTCGGGAATTCCCCGATATGCGCATTTGTGACGAAGAGGGCAGAGAATCGAGTGAACCATCTGTCAAGTTGTCGAGAGTAGTTGCTGATCTGATGAGTAAGGGCCGATGGCAGCTGCATCTCCTTGTCAGACCCTAGAACATCTCGAACTTGACCCATTATTAATAGCAGCGACACCTGCGACAGAATTCGTACGTCTGACTCAGTTGCCTCTACTCGATGTAGGTATGCCTCCCAGCTCACCGCAATGTCCTTATCGTTCCGCAGAAGAGAGTCGCGATTATGGAGGATGGAGAGATGCTGATCGCAGACGAATAATAGGTACCATAGACGAATGCGATCTGCCGCAACTATTGGCGATGAGGATGATGGAGAAGAATACTCGGGCGGATGAGCGCCAAGAAGAGAGTCGAAACTGCGATGGAGACGCATATCGGCGGCTCGACGGATGCCATCGCTAGACAAGATCCGCGATGCGTCTGCGAGCCAAAAAGACGCAATACATAAGGCTCGTAGATATTCGACGTCACGCTTTTCAAAGAGAGACCGCGCGACCTGGGAGCGAAACTCGCGGTTACACGCTTCGTATGTTTCCTGGTCGTGAGGGTCATGGAGGGCTGACACAGTGCATATGGCAGTGAGCAGGGTCGGCGAATCCTTGCGTAGATGGTCTAAGTCCCGATTCTCACCACAGATCCCATAGAGAAAATGATCTAGGCGGGAGTAGTAGCGGCGCAGTAGTTGTTCTGCCGTTTCAAGGGTGATGATGCCTTTACTAATGAGATCCGCTCGCCCATTGGCGCGAGTGACACCTGGTGGAATCTTGGCGGAGTTTGGGGTCCCATGTTTGGCGATGTCCAGGAATGTATCAATAGGAGCCTGCACCGCAGTGGGGGACTCTGGTGGGGATACTTCGCATCCTTCCGTTGGACCAGCGTCACATTCACCGTCTAGCCTGATGCTTTCTCCGGCGGCTCTTTGCTCATTCCCTGAAATTAAAAGGGGCCTTGGGCGTTGAATATCTAAATGCTGGCAGATGTAGTCGATGGTTTGATGCAGATTCTGTACATCGGTGCGCAAATGCTCGACATTTCTGCAAAGCGTACATATTAGCCTAATATGTTCGGATCGAATAGAGAGACAACCCACTTGGTATCTTCAACGAGAGACTGAAGACTCCGATTCAGCACACAAGATAATGATCGCCGGCGACATCGAACGCAAGGTGGACCATTTTCTGGCATATCACATTTTGTCTGTCGGCTTGGATATTAGATTGAGCAATGGAATCTCTTGACACCGAAGTTTCACCTTGTTTTTCCGACAGGCTACACATGCAGTGACCTTTCGGGTGATACTAGGCAAGACATTGACCAGCGATGGTACTGCTGCAGGTTGTTGCGGGCTTCTCTCCGACTCTTGACAGGAAGGCGATTCAGACCGACCGGGATATTCCAGGGTGCCTTGCTGCTGTCGGGAGCTGGCCGAAGCTGGCGTGAGGGAGCGAGCGATCTCTTCCCTGTGGCTGTCCGCTTCCGTTGTGGATGCCGGTCGCTTGCGCTTGACCATCTTGAATTGTCGTGCTTTTGATATCGCAAACATTTCATTTGTCTGATGTTTGTAAACGTTGTTGGGCGGTCAGTTTGCTTACCCCGCATTGTCGGTTATTGTCCATCCCGGTCTTGTCGGGAGAAGCCCGAGTGTTTGGTATATAGACACTAGCAGTTTCCAGTACCGAACAATATGTCGAGTCACAACCATGACTTCAGCAGTTCCACCAAAGAGCAAACCGCTGCCTCCGGGCATATATTGCCCAGTAATCTCTCTGTTCAAAGGGACACCGCGGCAGGAGATCGACTACGATGCTTCATACAAGTTCTTCACTCATCTCATCCGGAGTGGGATCCACGGAATCGTCCTCGCTGGCACAAATGCCGAGGCGGTTCTGCTTTCACCAACTGAGCGACAGGAGTTGGTGAGAACTGCTCGACGGGCGGCTGTGGATTTGGGATTTGATGATTATCCTGTGGTGGCGGGAATTAGTGGGCAATCAACGAACGAGTCTCTTCGCCTCGCCGAAGACGCTCGTGAGGCAGGAGCAGACTTTGGGCTACTTCTGCCGCCCAGCTACTGGCCTAAAGCAGTCACGAAAGACGTCATTCTGGACTTTTACACTGAGGTTGCAGACAGCAACCTTCTCCCAATCGTCATCTACAGCGTAAGCCCTCTTTCCACATATGATGCATGCATGAACTTTGGCTGAATTAAGACCATAGTTTCCTGCTGTCTGCAATGGCGTGGACATGAACTCGGATGTCATGTCAGCCTTGGCTCAGCATCCCAACATTGTCGGGGTCAAATTGACATGTGGTAATGCTGGCAAGGTTACTCGGTTAACTCAGGAATATACACATGAACAATTTGGGGTATATGCTGGCTCATCTGACTGGCTCATCCCTTGTCTCAGCGGGGGCGGATCAGGTTGCGTGACAGGAATTGCCAATGTTTTCCCAAAGTCAACCGCCAAGCTATTCTCTCTGTGGAAGGCTGGGCAGATTGAAGAAGCGCGAAAGTTACAGGGTCTGATATCACAGGCCGAAAAGGCCTGCAAGGAAGGAATTGCGCCTACCAAATTTGCCGCGGCACACTTTGCCGGACCCGTCGCAGGAGTGACGGACCAAGCAGCATTCCTCCCTCGAAAGCCGTATAAAGCGTCATCACCGGCAACGCGGGAATGGGTAATCGGTGTGATGAAGCATCTTGTGGATATTGAGAATTCTTTGCCAGATGTGCGAGCGGAGTGAACATATATGTTACAATAGAAAGATCCTATTTTATATCTCTATACTTTTTCATTCCACTGAGGATGCCATGACTATATAGGAGTAGATGTAAATAGTGGAGTACAGTCTCGTCTATGTAGTCTCTTCCTAGATCTCTACGAAAACCTCGTCAAAAATTTCTCATTAGAGGAAGTACCTCGAATAGTTCCTCGAACGAGCTTGAAGTGTATTGCTCTAATCTATGGTTGCATCTAATTGACAGGAGCGGCAACACCGGTAAAAATCTCCTTCATACCTGATTCGTCATATATATTGATTCTTCAGGCGAACCATACAAGTGGTTTGATTGGCGACACAGTGTTGGCACCACTGGTGGTACTTGGATTGACTCCAGCGGCCCCAAGGGTATTCTACGAACTCTGCCCAACATGTACGCATTTACCATTCCGGATCTCCAGTCCGGTCAGCCTGGTCAGACACAACGATCGGTCATAGCTCTGTCTCAGAATCGGATTCATCTTTGGAGGCAGGCGCATGCAAATGGAGACACTCTCATCCGCAGAAGGGTTGGCATGTCAAGTGGTACTGAACTTGATACACTGTCAGGTTATTTGCCTATAGGTCTGATTCACGAACTTATCCACGCCAAGCATGTGGTTGGACTGCGAATCACGAGTACTTAATCCTTATATTGACCCGTCTTGAGGATGTACACGAGCGTTAATCTTTTTTTGAATTACAGTTGACCAGAAATGCACTCTGACTGGTGACAGTGCATACGGGTGGAAAAGCATTACTCATTTAGCCAAAAGGGATCCGACAAAATCGGTCTTAAATGTAGGTAGGTTCAGCAGATACCGCACCTTACTATTGCAGGATATTATAGATACTGAGTCAAATTGGAACAGATAGCATCGCGTTGTATGCGCTGGGTGAGTCTCCCCTTTCCAAAGGACATCTGCACACTAGAGAATATATTGCGAATATTGTTACTAATGATAGCTTGTACAATTAGCTATGTTTCTGGATAGCCTTGATTGGTCCAGTGGGGAAGCAGTAGCTCTCCTCACTCAACATAGCAATCAGGATTGTGAGATGGCTTTTGGGCCACAGGAAGAGTCGACATCAAGCAGTGACGGTAGCAATATTGGCTGGTACACTACCATTTGATGTCAAACTTTGGTAAATAACCGGTGAGAAGAGTGGAATAGAATTGGCTCCTAAGTCAAGATCAATTCTCAATCAGTAGCAGTCCGGTAGTCATATCGAGCCATGCTCCATGGACGATTACTGCAAATGTATATATCTCATTTCACAACAGATGGCCTGTTGAGCTTTGTCATTCCCTCATGTACCGCCAGTGGACTAGAGCTATGTATAGAATACTAAAGAGTGCCGGAACACAAGAATCACGGCAATGAACATGAAATTGCTACCAGAAGCCATAGATAAACAGGAATGTATTGAGGTTGACATACCCCTTTATCAGGCCGTATTATTATTAGTGCGACAAGAAGTTGCGACCCATATACTCTGTAGACGGCTAACAGATACGATCGTTTTCATAAGCAGTGATGGATGTTATTCACTGCCGTGGATATTCTGCTAGTGGAGAATGGCCGAATCCTGTGTATATTAAGCGGGGGCCTACCGTCACGCATCGTCACAACGTAACTCTTCTTTTCACTTAATCCTAATAAGTTGTGATTCGGCCATTTTCAGCGGCACGGTTACCTTATCCGCTATCAGAAAATGGAGTATTATGTCTCCAACACGCAAATGCAGTCTCCTCGTCTATCCGGAGTCTCATGGACCGAGACGCGCCTACATGATCACCTTCCCCCAACTCCTGTTCTCAGCTTCATAAGATTGACATTCCGACCGGATGTTAATATTGTGAATGAGACAAAGATAGGGCATTCACTATGGCAACAGTCATTGGCTCTCATTTCTACCATACCCGGATTTCAGCGGGTTTACTGGGCTTCTATATCTGATGACCCCAATGGAGTTGTCGTTCTAATTCAATGGCAGAGTGGCGATGCATGGAAAGAATTCCAATTTTCATTTGGATTTGGCCTCATGCTGCCTCTTCTACAGCAAAAGCCCCTCCTGAATTGCTGTGTTCAGCTCAACCTTCCTGCTGATTTCGCCGCGGGGCCAGGACATATTCTAGAGCTGATAGAACTCTCTGTCCTCCGCGCCTCAAATAAGTATGATCCAGCGGAGAGATGCCAGTGGGTCAACGAGGAATGGCAAGGATTAATTGAGGTTCTCAAATCTGGAGTTTTAGGAATAACATTTCCGAAACTGCTCTGCGGTGTGCAGGGCTGGCTAGAAGATGATATACCATCTGAATATCGAACCTTTTTCGGTCTTTTACTCTGGAAGGTCCCATGTGGGCGTGCCTCATGGATTCAGACTCCCGCTCTGAATAAGAAAATTCTGATTTTAACCTCTCACAGTGCAGGAATATCCACTATACTGACAGATCGTCTATTTGAATACAACCCCTTGACAATGCCAACCAACCAGCTAGTATCCGTCGAACGATTTTCGGGCACCATATTCGCGACCCAGATCTCGCCACCCCAGTACAGTCGTGACAAGGGGTTTGATTACATCGCTCGGTGGGACTTGTGGGGTAAAAGAAGCGTCGATGAAGCTGCCTCCGGTCGTCGTATCTGTCCTCTCCCTAGAGCATTCTGGTGCCCGATGGGCGCCATGAGCAAACACGGATTTCCAACAGTTGGTGATGTCCTTCCTCGATCTGCAGTAGTACCGATGATTGATGTCTTGTGGTTGTACGTCGATGAGAGTTATTCTGGTTTTTCGGCCACCCTCGGCAACCTGTGTCGCGCTATTCATAACAAACTAGGATCACCGCGTCTCCGATGGGGCCGAGAAGCCAGCAAAATTACCCCCGAGCCCAGGACTTCCATGTTTGCGATATTGATTGGTAAGCTCGTAAATACAGAGGTTCTTCTACTGGCAGCCCATGTGTGTGTCTAACGCGCTTTCAGAATGAAGGATTGTGCCAGATAAAAATACCTTACACCAGATCGACCAGCTGGTAGACGCCGCAGTTATCCAAGGACGTGGTGTGATCCAGAGACGAGGTCCAGAATTAGACCGCTATTGCGCTTCGCTTTCCATGAATCAGCCCAGTCAACTAGAACTTCTGTCAATCTCCGTCCCAAATGATGAATGCCACAAGGATATCTTGTGGCATGCCTACCATAGATTTAAATGGTAACTATCAACGATTCTGGATTTGTCGCAGATACCATGCGTTTCATCACTCTCCCCCGTATTTTTCTTTTCTTCTTTCCACTTCTCCTTCCAGCGTGTCTTATTTATTCGCCATTCTTCATCTCGCCTTCATTAACCAATATCTACGCCTTCCGCTTTCATTGAGAACCTCTGGCTAACTATGCTAAAACCACATCCATACAGGACCATGTCCTCCCCTGCTGTCCAAGAGGGTATATATGTGCGACAATTACCCACTGCAGCCGCCGAGCCCCTCCGCCATGGCTTCCACGAAATTGTATCTAGTCCGCTACACAGCTCATCTGCAAACACAATTCGCTTCTCTGCTAGTACTGCTTGGTTGAGTGCGGAGGCCCGTGAAGAATGGTACACCGGTTTTGCGGACCAAGCAATAAGCTGTTACGAACGCCTGGGTTATATCATTGCTTGGTTTCAGACTGTGGCACTGGCCGCGGAGTGCTTTGTTATTGACCTGGAACCAATAGGTCGGACTTTTGATGATTGGTAAAAGTCTTCACAGCCTCAACAATCCGAAGCAGTGCATTAGGACATGTCTTCGGACGCGACATTTGCTTCAGTCTTTGTGAAACATTCGAAAGTATTGGGGCCAGTAGAGAAATCGACTAAGTTTACTATCTCATTGTTCTACTTTGTAGCCACGAAGATGACACTTCTATCTGCGGTGAGATAAGTACGATTCCAAGTTGTGAAGAGCACGGCTGCTACTTTGCCAGTCACACTTCATTCAGCCGCATAGTAGGGACTGAATCAGGTCGAGGAGTACCAAATGGCTGCTCTACACGATTCCTAAAAATATTGCCACTAAATATCCGTGAAATAGTCTCACCATTACAAAAGCGAATTCACAATTAAAAACTCGAAACATTGTGTTCGCATCGTCTATTCTGCGTATCTAAGTCCAGTCGGTATACTTCTAAAGAGCGTGGCAACCATCTAGCCGAAACCTATCCGAAGAAGTCCTCCTTGAATTGGACATACTTGATCCGTTGTCGCCAAAAGGTATAAGCAACGTGGATTATTCCCTCAGCACAAACCATGCTTGGATACGACAGCTCCCGGTTGAGCTTTTTCTCGCTGTTGTTCGTCAAGCAATACCCATCCCCATCCTCCAGTATTCGATGCTTCCATGTCTTCCCCTTATCATCACTCCATGCAACACACAAGGGAGCCCGTGGTGACCCCCAAAACGACTCCCTGCCATCCTTCGCTGACGCCTGATTTTTTCTTTCGTCTACCCCGTCAGCGATATCGTCATACAGGCCCTGTCTCCTTCCCAAAGCATCAAGCTTAGATGAATGATTATACACCAATACTACCCTTCCGGACGGTAGCACATCAAAGCAAATGCCTGCATTTGGATTTGGAAGCGACGTCGGTTGCGGAGCACTCCAGACTACACCGTCTGGCGAGGTAGCCAGGTAGACGTTGTCAGCCCAGCGACTGCGAAACATGCCCAAATACGATCCGTCCTTCAGCCGTTGGATCTCCATATGCACGCACCCCGTGCTTTCAGGGATCTCCGATTCAGTCCAGGTGCGACCCTGATCCCTTGATACCCGGATGCAGGAAATATCATCATTTCCCAACCATCGCTCCCCCGGCTGCACACGACACTTGAAGACTGGAACTACCCAAGCTCCATCTTCGAGGACGGCCACTGGCTGCCGGATAAAGGTACCGGTATCGTGAAACAAGACCTTTTCATCGCCCCATGTGGCGCCGCTATCGTTTGACACCCGATACTTGACAATGGCCGTATCCTGATCACCAGAATGTTGGGAGGTGTAAAGAAGCCATAGCTCTCCGGTAGGTGAGTGAAAGAGAACAGGATTCTGCTCGCTACGGGTGTCGTCGTGGGTCATCTTCGACGCTTCCGTCCACTCGCTCTCCCCGCACCTTAGCCGAGAGAGATAGATGCTGATGTCGGGCTTTCCTTCTAGACTGCCTCCAAACCAGGCACAAAACAGGTCGCCATTCGGCATTCGGAGTAGATTGGATGCATGACTCTGTACCGTGGGCGCAGGTAGGTATGCCTCGCGGTAGAAGTAGGGTTTCTCCACGGAACGGATTAAACTGTCCGAAGGGAATGTGGAAGCCATTGTGAATAAGATCCAGCTTGACCTTCGGTTTGTGAGTAAGTTCCTCCCAGATTCTGGCCAAGTTGCGTGCTCTTATTCCAAGTGCTCCACCATTATGCCATAATCAAAGAATATTGATTGGCCAATCTCCACAAAGGACGCGCACTCTTCGGGCCAGGGCCGACAAGCTCTCAACGCTCGGAGGACAGTCCGACGATCGCCTGCAGCGAACAGCTTGGACTGACCTCCGCATTTACCCCGGATTCAGTGCAGCTGTCACTATGGGGTGTTGCAGATCACCCCAAAACAGTCCAAGAGGGGCCGTGATCATGCGTAACTTCCCCGCCATATAATGGAGCGCATTTTCGGCCGCAACCAGGATGTATCTCATCCTATGTGGGGAGAGTCGTATCTTGGCTGCCACACTGACCAAGGGCCAAAATTACTGTTATTGCATGTTCAAGTGCCCAAACGTGTTACCATTTAATTGTTGCTTTAATTCTCAAATTACATCTCAATGGCTGGAGGTACCAGCATCTGGGCAAGCCAGGAGGCCAGAACGGATCCCAGGCAAATCTTCAATGGAAGACTAGTCTATCTTCTGATCACTCTTGCGTGGGCAGGCTGGTTCTATGGATTTGACACGGGAAATATCGGGGGCATCCTTACATTGCCCTCATTTGAACATGCATTCGGACTAGACAAGTTGTCCACGGCAGAGCTTGATAGTCGAAAGGTAAACTTGCATACATCTCCAACATAACGAAAATTATTGACAGGTGTAGGGAACCATCGCAGCGATGCTCGCAGCCGGTGGCTCAGCTGGCTCTCTCTGTGCAGCCCCAACCGCCGACTTCCTAGGCCGCAAGTGGTCTGTCTTCCTATGGGGATCTGTTTTCGTCATCGGTGGTGTAATGCAAATGATCGCCGACTACAAAGTACTCATTGCCGGTCGCTTCATCGGCGGGATGGGTGTTGGGGCCAGTTCCATGCTGTCGCCACAATTTCTGGCGGAGAACTCACCAAAATCAGTGAGAGGATCAGCAACAGCCATGTACAACCTGATGATTCTAGCGGGCTTAATGGTCGCCTTCTGGATCAACTACGGAGTTTCCTTGTGGTCATTCCCTGGTGTTGAGCATGACAATACTCAATGGAGAACGGCAATGGGGATCCAACTGATTCCTGGGGTCTTGATGTGCCTGATGATTCCTTTTGTTCCAGAAACGCCGCGTTATCTGATCAACCATGGAAAGGAAGAGCAGGGACTGAAGAATCTATGTCGACTGAGGAAGCTCCCTGCTGACCATCCTTACATCCAGACGGAATATCAGGAAATTGTAGCCCAGGTCAGATTCGAGCAAGAATGCCATCAGGGACACAGCTACTGGGTCGTTCTTCAAGATATCATTTTCATCAAAAGCAATGCCCGACGATTTTTTCTTGCGGTTATGCTGTTCCTCTTCCACAAATTCACTGGCACTGACTCTTTGAATGTGAGTGCGGAGAGTCTAGCATCATCCTTGACACGGAGTATGCTAACGCAACACACAATAGTACTATGCCCCTGAGATTTTCGAACTCATCGGCGTCAACGGAACGTCAAATAGCCTCCTTACTACAGGCGTCTACGGGGTCGTCAAATTCGTCGTAACGATCTTCTACGTCACCTACCTAGTCGATCGTGTCGGTCGTCGTCGGCCACTTCTCGTCGGTGCCGTCCTCCAGGCAACCGCCATGCTCTACCTCGCCCTCTACCTCCGCTTCGCAGGGACCAATACCAGCACCGTCGGCGGAACACCAGCTGGTGGCATTGTCGGAATAGTCTGGATTTATATTTATGCCTTTGGATGGTCTTTCGGACACAGTGTGGCGTGCTACATTGTGGCGGCCGAAATATTCCCGACCAGAATCGTACGTACACATTGCTTAGATCTATTGTGTATGTCTTCGCTAACGGCCTAGCAGAGATCAGTCTGTATGGGCTTCTGCTTCTTCGTCAACTGGATCGTTGACTATGGTATCACCCGAGCTACACCAGACATGATCACGAACATGGGGTGGGGTGTGTTCCTCCTGTATGCTATGCTAACTTATTCTGGCGTCGTGTTTATATACTTTTGTCTGCCAGAATTAAAAGGAAGGTCTATCGAGAGTATCGATGACTTGTTCCAGAGACCATTGTGGACTATGTGGCGACATGCGTATCCAACCGAAGAAGAGAAAGTGCGGCAGGGAATTCCACAAGTAGCTAAGGGGCAGACGAATGATGAAGGGGATAAGCAATCTGTGGATCATGTTGAACGTGTCTAGTTTGTTCTATTGTCTATAAGCGGTTTTCACGTTCTTTATCGGATTCTGATTAGGGTGCCTTTCATGAAGTCATTTTGATACAGCTGCGTCATACTGTTAAGCTGCTTTCTATATTCTGCTGAGGTCGATACATGCTATGGAGACGCCTATCACTAGCCTCCAGCACCTTCATACAAAACTTTTCAACTTGAGACGCTCCTACTCAGACTTTTCAAAAACAGAGTTTGAAGCGCACGTCTTAGCTTTGTTTTCTGTTAACCTCTCCTAAGGCTTTAATAATTGCCTGGTGATTTTTTGCGGAGTGGGAATTGGTGACGTATTAGTCGATAGTGGTTTATTTGTCCGGCAACGAACAAACCAGAAATGCTGAAAAGTACAAGGGAATATCGCAGTACTGGAAGAGCCTCTTTTCAGCAGACTAAATCTCATTTCTCACCACTACTAACACAGGAGTACAGGGTTTCTTCCAGCCCAAGTATTCGAACAGGATATGGGGGTCTCAAATCTGTTGTGCTATAATTTTACTATAATCTCAAGCCAATTAAGCTGTATACTTCTATAACACATGCTTCAATGCTGATATAGGCAGATAGTACTGTTTATCATACAACAACAGATCAGAGACCCCGAATTCTAGTTTTATGAAAACTAATCTACACTCCAAACTCACCCTGGAATCCAGAGAACTACCAACTAACCCACCCAGCTTCGCTCCGCACGACATGGCCACACTCGTAGCCCTCCCAGGCGAGCGAACCCAGAAATTCATCCGGCGTTTTGACTACTTTCACAATTGAGATATCACCTATATCGCCAACAAGTACGCCTTATTCAGCATCCTTGTTGTTCTTTCCAGAGTGTAAAATTATAAAATAGCTATCAGTGCAAATCCCCAGATAGTTCTATCTTGCCGACCTACTTTTCTGTGGGCTTAACTGAGCATGGCTAAACCTTGTCAGTTCATAGCCCCCTCTTCTGCCTCCTTTTGTGACAGAAATTAGTGCCGACGATCATCTGACCTAAAATATGACAAGTACGTTCATTGCCTTCTCTGTCTGCACCTAAAATGTAGTCTCGACAAGGTTCGCCTAAGCTTTGGTCGGACCTTGCGGATTGACTGGCCCACAACACGGCCGGGCCCGGGGATCTGATGCTGCCGTCACTGGTGCCAGAGCTCATTTCGTACTTCCTAACACACACTAATGCTTCGTTAGTTACCCGCAAGGCTGGAGAACAGGAATGAGGGGAATTGAAGTGACCGTCTCCCATTTCTTTTTCTGTTCTTTGTTTATTTTGTCATCTATAACCAATCCCCGTTTATATCGGGTGGATTTAGTAGTAGCGTTTCCTCTGCATGACTACACAACCCTCTCTTCCTAACAACCACGCCAGACACCGAAACATCGTCACTTCCCCTTCGCCTAAGCTACTTATCCTGTCCCTTCTGCCCCCAACCCCATTCCCCAACCCCCTTTAATCATATCCCATCCAATATGCCCACCTCTAAAACCAAAACCATCCTCATTACCGGCTGTTCCGCCCACGGCATCGGCGCAGCCTTAGCCCTCACCCTCGCCCGCCAGGGCCATTTCATCTTCGCCACAGCCCGCAATACCACCAAAATCTCTGAGTCCCTGAGTGCCCTGGAGAACGTGCAGGTCCTCCCCCTGGATGTGACAGACTCCGCCACCATCGCTGACGCTGTGCGCGCAGTGAGAGAACATGGTCGGGGGCTGGATATCCTGGTCAACAATGCCGGGACGGGGTATACGATGCCTCTACTAGAGGCGGACTTGGACCGCGCCAAAGCAGTGTATGAAGCTAATGTGTGGGGCTTGCTTCGGCTAGTTCAGGCATGCAGTGACCTGCTGGTTGCAGCCGAGGGGAGGATTGTTAATATGAGTAGTGTGGGGGCAGTGGTCAATACACCTCGGATTGGTTCGTTCTTTTTCCCCTTTCGAAGAGATCAGCATAAGCGAATCAACTATACGTACAAACAGGGATCTATTCCTCCTCCAAAGCCGCAATCACCCAGCTGTCCGAGACGCTTCGTCTCGAACTCTCGCCCCTGGGCGTTAGCGTGCTCTGTATCATGGCGGGTACTATTACCACCGACTTCCATGCAAATGAGCCGGAAGTCGTCTTGCTGCCGACTTCCCGGTATGCAGCTATTGGACAAACCATTTCGGATTGGGCGACTGGACAGGCTGGTCCCCAAGGCTGTTCGGCGGATGAGTTCGCTAACTTGATTGCCGGCGATGTTCTGGGAAGCAGTAGTGCTAATGGGGGGTTGGTGTGGAAAGGCCCGCATAGTGCCGCTGTTAAGTTTATGGCGAGGTGGTGTCCGGGGGGGTTGTTGGTGAGTTCCTGTTTAATTGATTCTTTGTCTCCTCTTCCGGGTCGTCCCGGGTCCCCAACCGTGTTGGTCGTTTGATTGGTTGCTAACTAGGGCCCTAACTAGGATCGCTTGATGAGTAATGGGCAGGGGTTGGATGAGTTGGTGAAGACCACAAACAAGAACTGAATGATAGTATTGTAACACAGAAGAGAGAGTGTGTGGGGGAGATTGTGTAAAGTAATCAATAGTGGAAAGCAAGAACCATGAGATAGCCAAGATTGAATTCTACTACCTAAACCATCGGTCAAATACATACGAATGCACGTCACTGCGGAATCTTAAACCCTCCCGGCACCAATCTCTGAAACACTCCCGTGGGATCGACTTCACGGCTGATCTGCCGCAAACGCGCGACATTCTCCGGCCCATAACTGGCGATCGGATCCTGCCACTGTGCCGCGTAGTTCAAATAGACAAATGGATGATATGCATTCAACTCATGTGCATCCGCCTCAATACCTGCAAACAGTGATTTAGCAGTTTCCTCCACGCGTGTGTCATCAGCCGCATTATCCCAGGTGGCGCTCAGTAGAGTAACCACGAGTGCTTTCTCGGAGTCAGACGGCAGTCCCATCACATTGTGCCCCTTAGGCGCCCGCGCGTAGATTGCAGCGGGTAGTGGCTCCAGGGATATTGACCACACGATGCCCGGCACATCTTGCACGGCTGTCAGACTGGTATTCCACCGGACATAGGTCGCTTTCAACATGGGCACGGTCGCGTCGTGGGTCGTCACTACGCTTAGCTGTCTGTTTGCGTTGTCATGGATTAGCCCTGGAGGATTTGTAGGAGAACAGCATGACATAGATCGGAGAAGGGAGTGGAGAGGGTGTAGAGACAGTAATAGACAAATCCTTACCGTTTCCCGTTTTGTGAAAAGGACCCTTGCTCCAGGGATATCTCGTATACCGGGGCTACACGCACTGTGCTGAATAACTGCGGGATATCAAAGAAGGCATTGTACACAGCTGGTGGGGATGGTGGCTGCTGGCTATCTTCTCCATTCTTCTTGGCCTTCTCCAGCTTCCCGGTATACACAATGCTGTTCACCACAGCGGCCCCCTTGCCTCCCGCAAATCCAAAACTGGTGATCAACGAGGCATTCTCATCATAGTGGCTCACTGCTTTGGGATCAGCCAGCTCCGCAAACGCGCGTAGTTGGGCATCGATGGTGTCTGTGCTGCAATAGATAGACCCGCCATAGATAGGACCCTGCGGGAAGACCCGCAGATAAAAGCCTGTTATAATCCCAAAGTTACTGTTCCCACCCCCGCGCAGCGCTGCCAGCCACTCTGGATGATGTGTTTCCTCATCCCAATGCGCAATCGTCCCATTGGCCAGAACTATCTCCACGCCGACCATGCTATCGCACGTCCACCCGTAACGGGGTGAGAAATACGACATGCCGCCCCCGAGCGTCAGTCCGCCAACCCCGACCTGGGCGGCGCGGCCGCCCGCTACCGAGAGACACAGCGGGTCGAGGTGGGCATAGACATCTCCCCACGTAGCACCTGCTCCGACGAAGACGGTCTGTTTATTACCATTGTCCGTGGACGGAGCCAGGACCTTGATGGTGTTGAGAGCGCGCAGGTCAATGGTGATGCCGTGCTGGATGTTCGACGCTCCCCCGAAGGAGTTGTGCCCGCCGGACCGGATGGCAAATTGGCATCTGGCTTGCTCGTGCCCGGGCAGAGCTGACACGGTTGTCACCAGGCTGGTAATTATATTGGAAACATCTTCAGCTGAGTCCGGGGACACCACGCAGGACGGCTGCAGATCGCTGTTCTGCTGGGCAAAATACGACTTTTGGGACGCTTCATATGCAGTCGTTTTCGGGAACGAGATTTTGTCTGACCCTAAAATTGAGGCCAAAGTAAGGCACTGCACACATGGTAGAGTTAGTTTTTGGGTCTGCATGGGTTTCCAGGGTTAAACGCACGCAGGCTTCTAGCGGTGAGTTGTTAGCCATGGGAGGATTATGGCTGCTATTGAGGGGCGTTTTTTCCATGGTGAGGCGAAGATACGAGAAGGAATAAGCTTGGAAACGAATAGGGGAAGATTGAGAAGAAAGAAAAATGGGAAGGAAAGGGGGACAATGAATGCGACAGGGCGCAGCGGGTTTTAACGGGTAGGCTCAGTGTTTAGTTCCTGCTAAATTAGTGCTGCGCTTAGTGCTGTACAGGGGTGGTAAACCTGGAGACTTAGCGTTATCTACCGTCATTTAAACTCTAGGCAAAGATTGGTATTTGCTTAAAGATGACTGCAGATCGTTTTCCTTTCACATATCTCCTATATCCTATTCAATCCCAGCCTCTGTCTCTAGTACCAGAAACATGATACTCTCAGCCCGCTGCCTGCACTGTTGAGGACTAGAAGTAGTATATCAACTCCTAAAAGCCCTCTACCTAATATCCGGCCGCTTATTACTCCCCTTCAGCCCCTTCATGATAGACTCAACTTCCTCGTCCGCCACATCAAGTATATGTTGAGGTGGATACATTGGCTCCCACCCAATCTTCCTTCCATGCTCAGCCGTAAACATACACCTAGTCTCACAATTAGCAGTGCCTCCAAGCGCCCCCCACCCCAAAGGCCATTACTTACCTCCCCCCAAGAAGCACCTGAACCTCATCTGGCGCAACACCAAGCGCCTCGCCCATCTTCGCCAGCACTTCCTCATCAGCCTGCACAACGTTTCCATCCTCAACCAATCCACGCTTCGCAAGCGCCTTAGCCATAGCACCGTAAACTTTATTCCAAGTAACACTGCCCGAAGAAGCAAGGAAGAAGCCATTCTTGCCGTGGCCAATTTCTTCCGCTGATAGTATCTTCCGGAGAATGTGCAGATATAAGTTTGCTGTATCAGCAATGTGGCATACAGGCCATATCTGGATATTCACTGTTAGAATATATACATTCGATTGGTGACTAGTATGGAGGATACATACGGGATCATCCATATCAACCTTATGAACCCGGCGCATCTTTATCGCAGCACGAACAATATCAACATCTTGGATCGAAGTCTGGTTGCCGAACCCTTCCCCCGGGCCGTATACAAGACACGGGGCGAAGATGTAGCTCCGCACGCCGTGGGCTTCGGCTGTGTCGATGATTGTCGCGTTGGTGTTGGCGGACTATATATTCTTAGTGAGCACGATTGGCAAAAGCAGCATTCGAGTTAACTTACTTCAGCTGCAAACTTATGCCTCGACTTCGCCGCCTTCTGAATATCGTACAGTCTCGGATCCGTATCTAACAGTGCCTGGTCGACAGAGACTCCCGCATGTCGACTGAACTGCTTAGAGCCAGTCGTATGTAGGAAGTGCACTTCTTTGCCTGTTCTCTTCTTGACCTCTCCTAAGCCTTTGATGAATGCGGGCTGGTGCTTTGCGGAGTAAGCATCGATGAGGTAGTAGACAATGGTGATTTCTCTGTCGATGATAGTCTGAGTGATAGTCTCGTGATCGCTAACATTTAGTATGAGAGGTTCCGCGCCGTATAGCTTCTCTACCTGGTTACCTTGCTCTTCTGATCTGACCAAGGCGTATAGTTTGCCATATGATGGGAGGTTGGCGTTCTTCCAGCGTGCTAGGAGGGTGCCTCCTAGGTAGCCGGAGGCTCCGGTGATCAGGATGTTGTGGGACATTGGGTTCTGTGATGTGCAATTGAGGTCTCTGGGAGTTCAATCTTTCTAATTGTGCTCTTGCCTTGTCCTTTTTCTGGGAAGGAAGAGAATGGTTCCAGCAAGTAGTTTATGTATGTCTGGATAGTATTGGATTACCATGTCGTCGCTGACGCGCTAACCGCTTATGGATTTCTCCTGCGATTCCTATTGGTCGAAGCTAGTCTCTCCCCTTCCACTCACAAGTCTTCCGGTTGGTTTACGCCCTCATTGACAATTTGAAATCAAAAATGCATTTTGATCGTCTTCACAGACCTTCGAACGCTGTGATTAGCAATCATCCCATACTGGCGGGGTTGATGACTGTCGTGGACATATTATCCAGTCTCCATGCCCCATGACAGCCAATAGGAATCACGGGAACGCTCAGGTCGCAACGACCCTCGTACATTTCCTCTCACCACGTTATTGCCAGAAGTATAAGGGCCTGGCAGAGAGTTCTCATCGCATATGAAGGCGCAAGTACATGATTCGACTCATCAGAGATTACATCAATTGTGTTTACCCCCTTGCAGATTCCCACATCCATACCATGCAACATTACATCTCCCACTTCGACGGCATTGACGGCCTCAAGAAGGAAGATGTAACAATTCCATCACCCGGACCAGGAGAGGTCCTCGTCCAGATCCGTGCTATATCACTAAACTACCGCGATATGGAGGGTAGGCACCATCCCCTCCCCAAAGCATCCCATGCACTCAATAACTCATTCCCCTGAACCCAGTGATCAACGGCGAATACAACCATCACCGCGCGATCAAGCAAGGTTCAAGCATAATCCCCTGTTCTGATATGTGTGGTGTGGTGCAAAGTGTCGGCCAAAATGTCGCCAAATGGAACGTCGGAGATCGCGTTGTTTCCTTATTCGTTCCGGATCATAAGACGGGAAAACTGACTGAGAGAGCACTCGCTACCAGTTTGGGCCTTCCCCAGCAAGGTGTGCTGGCAACGCATCGCGTGTTCGCGGAGGATGCGCTGGTCAAGGCACCCGAGCACATGAGTGACGAGGAAGCATGCACACTTCCGATCGCGGGTGTTACGGCATGGATGGCGATTAATGGGACTCGGCCGTTAAGCCAGAATGGGGGCCGGGGGGAGTATATCCTTCTTCAGGGAACGGGAGGTGTTAGTATTGCTGGGTTGCAGATTGCGAAAGCGTCTGGGGCGAAGGGTATGTTCACCTGCGCATTTATATATGACTCTAGAGTTGACCCTGTGGGATAGTCATAATTACTTCGTCGTCCGATGAGAAACTAGCCAAGGCAAAGGGTCTCGGAGCAGACTTTGGTATCAACTATCGTAACACACCTGAATGGGCTAATAAGGTTATGGAAGTCACGAACGGACATGGCGCGGATATTATTCTCGAAACGGGTGGTTCGCAAACACTGGGCCAGAGCTTTGTGTGTGCTGCGTACGGTGGCCTGATTAACTGCATTGGATATACCTCTGGCAAGACTCAGGCTTCTGGAGAGCAGAAGAACGTTAATCTGCTCACTCTGAGTCGCAGCTTGACCTTAAAGGAATCTGTTAACGGACCGACGGATCGCTTCGAGGAGTTGATTAAATTTGGGGAGAGACATGAGATTCATCCTGTCATCTGCAAGGTCTTCCCTTTCAGCCAGGCGAGGGATGCTTTCAGGTATCTGGAAAGTGGCTCGCACTTTGGAAAGATTGTTATCCAGGTTTAGTGGGTGCACATGTCGTTTGGGTATCCGGCAGCAAACAACGGTCATTTATCCAATGTACCCATTGATTGATTCAGAGGGCATCCTGTTTAATTTACGAACTGTAGCATGAGGAAGGTCTGTACGTAGCATAATTTTAGTTTCACTATAAGTGCTCGGATGTAGGGTCTGCAGAATCTCCGAACATAGGTACATGAGAAAAGTCCATGAAGGCTTCGTTGACTCCATCGCAATAGCTGGGCCAGATATCGGGATCAACGAGATCCGCCCAGGGCCAAAATAAATCATTACTTGTTTGGTTCTCTGGAAGTGACAAGATGGACTGATCGATGTTCGTATTTCGAACATCCATGTCCATGCTTATCGCATGAGATGGTTGATCCACCCGTTGCGTCAGACCATCATTCGTCGACGGAGGTACACCTTTTGTGCTTTCGGACACACCACGCCGGAGATCAATATCCAGCATCATAGTCAACTTATCGACCTTCTCACATAGGTGGCGTGTGAGACATGCTGCACGAACAGCGGCGTCATTTTGGGAACCCGCAAACTCGAACGTCTCCAAGGCTAGGTCGACGTAGCCGCGTGCCTCTGGACAGCGTGGACAGAATGGGAATGCCAATATAAAGCCCATGAGCGTCAGAACGGCATTCCACTGATATTGATAAAGTTCGCAAGATCCATAGAATATGTCGTGCATGGTCATACAAGAGTAGACTGTGTGGATCGTTGCCAAGGCGTGTTTCAGAGCAGTTGCAGCATGTGCACCGGCAAGGGGATTTTCTCGGTTCATCGCCGGCTGACGAGGAAACTGGATAAAAACTCTATGCAGACTGATCATTGCGTCGTGGTATTGGAGCTCGAGCAAAGCCTCCGTTTGGATCTGGAGTGGCACTTTTTTCATATAGTCATTGTACTCATCGCCACCATCATCTCCTAGACCACAGAAATACTTTCGTGACACTGGTTCATCTTGAACGTCCAGTTGAAGATGCTTGAACCATGCGTTTTGCCGTAATTCATCTTTCCACACACGTAAATGACGCAAATTCTTTGTCAGAACGTTTGCCTGAAATTCAATGTCATGGCTTTCTCCTGCCTTTTCGTGATGTGTGTTTTCGTGATGTGCCATTGACTCAATAACAGCCAGTGCTGCACACGTGAGACGAATTGATTCATTATGATATGGGAAATGTACCGGACGGGGTGGATCATTCGACATCCAACATGGTGGCGAAGATCTATATATAGGAAGCTGCACACTGACAGGCTTCCCAAGGTGCCTTGAGCAGCGAAAGTCGAGATGGACTAAGGTCCACCATATACGAGAGTAGAGCTCCGCCTGCTCTCGAGAGACTTGAGGGGGCGGATTACAGTCAAGGTCCAATGATCGAGCAATACGAACAGCGAGCCCGATCATGTTATAAGCCGCCTGATGTTGTCCAGCATCTAGTAAGTACAAGGTCATGATACAGTAGCACTGAAGGATTGGAAGTGAGGGCTTCGCAAACGTTGAATATTGCATCGCGCCAGTTAGACAACGTTGGAAATAAGGCATGCCAATCTTCTTTGAGCACCGATTGCTTCTTTTGAACTGCTTCCATTGCAATCCAAGTAATCGAGAATGGAGGCCTGAGTAGAATATGTACTGCATAGTGTAGGCTGTTACAGCATCCCGCAGAGGTTGGGAGCCGGTCAGCGTATCTTGGTCGGAAAGAGGGTGCTCTAGATCCTCTCGGCGAACAATTGGAACTTGTGGGAGTAGCCGTGCCCAAAAAATCTCTAAAACACGATCGACCTGATCAGAGGATAAATCACACTCAACCACAGCTGTGCCATCTGTGTCATGGGGGGTAAAAGGAGATGAGTAAGGAGGGTTCCCCGCCGAGGACCGCTGAGTCGTCAGTTGCGATACACCAGCGCAGAAGGTGTTTATGCGATCAATAAAGCCAAGTGTTGAATCCAAGCGATAGTTGATCGGCGCTGTGTCTGTGTCGTCGGGGCATGATATTATGCCTGCGCTGGATTTCTCCCTTCCCTTGACGGCACTGGTTTTCGGGGTCACAGGAAGTGAGGATGGGGACGCATTCATAGCAGCACCAGACCGATCAGATGGACTGGCGGAGCGCCTGAGACGACTACAGGGTATTTTGTTGACCACGCATTGATGGCAGGGAGCGACTGCGTCACAACGCACTCGGTGCTCTCGACAGAAACGGCATGCCCGGCGCACTTTGCGGCGCCTAGGTACTGAACCTGTAGTTGGAAAGGTATGTAGCATCGTTTTATTCAATGCGGCTCAAATAATTTGTTGGATGACGTTTTCTGAGCATTGCTGATTTAGCGTCAAAAGTGGTCACTGGATGTTCTTTGCAGGCTAGATTGAAGATTAGTCACCAAGAAATCTCACGTGTCATTTGTCAGGTTATCGCCGCAGGGACGCTGAGCTGGCCTACAAGCGAATTCACGATTTATATCACTTCTCAAGGTTCTTGTGATCTGTCAAGACTTAGGGGCTGAGTATTGCTGCCTTTCAGCTGCATACGTTGTGGCCTTACTCAGCCACGCTTCAAAGCGCAGCCAAAAGCTTCGTTGGTGAACTGGCTGGAATGCCAAGAATGTGCGATGTCTTCGACTTGTTGACACACCCATCCCCTCAACCCCAACCAACCTCACATAGCAAACACAGCCATGCTGGAGTGTAATGTTGGAGATTGCACCAGGCTGGCTGTACACTTAGACGGTAACTCTGTTATTTGCGAGCGTCATCTCTGTGCCAAACATATCGAACATGAATGTCCTAAGTGGCAGGTGGGCAGGAATATACATCCTGCTCTCAAGCCTGACTTTCCTATTAGTCGATGCCAATGACGGAAGTATATACGACTCGGCCGCTCAAGAGACAGAGGGAAGAGAGATATAGAGACTCTAAAGTTGTCTGCACTTTTCGAGGGAAGAAGCTATTTATGAAACGCATTGCCTGCTCTTCCCCCCAGCCTCTTGTGTATGAGAGGACGATGCGTTCATCAGTTATGGGCGGGATGAACTGTCACATAGAAATTTTGTTTGCTGATGGAGTTCGGTGGTTGGCTCGAATTCGAAGATCTAACGCGACTTCACTATCACCCGACCTACGTGACTATATGCGCAGCGAGGTTGTGATTCTTTGATTTCTTGGCAGAACCAGGGTTTCTGCTCCGAAGGTATTCGACTATGCACTACGTGGCGAAACACAAGTTGGTATCGGGTATATTCACATGGAAAATCTCCCAGGAAGGTCATTACGCTGGTCTCTGGCCTCTCCGGAGCATACGAAGAAGGTTATGACCCAGCTAGCGGATGTATAAATTGAGATGGAATGTTTTGCATCCAACCGTATGGTATCCATGGATGAACCAGGAGCTGATCAGCTTCCTTTGCCCGGGAATCCTTGACCGAATAATATGTCAACTCACAGATGATTTCCCTCGGGCCATACGATGATCCGAGAGACTATAGAGGCTAGCATTGAGCTCATTCTGGGGTTGTTATGAAAGGGGAAAGCTATGCAGAATACGACATAAATGCATTTCTAGTCCATCAATTTCTTCCTGAATGCATCCCAATATTAATTGAACACCACAGATTTGAAGACGGACGATTCTATCTACGGCATGCCAATGATAAAGGAGATCATATCCTTGTCGATGACGAATGAAATATCACTGGAATTGTCGATTTAGAATGGGCTGATACTGGCCCGAAAAATGAAGCCTTTAAATCGCCAGTGGTGCTTCTCCCAGTTGCTGACATTTACGATAGAGTCAATATCGTTGGGGAGGAAGAATCCACCTTTGCAGATATACTCATGAAAAAAGGACTTGCAGAAATAGTAAGAAACGTGAGACTGCTTCATCGGTTCCAATTTTGTGGCGAGTATGACTTTGCAGATTGGGAAGGTTCCTTGGGCCTTTTTCGAGGTCGGAATGCCTTGGATCTAGATGCAGATATAGGCTGGCAAGATTGGAAAGCGACTGCTCTGGAAAGAAATTCTGGTAATGAGCGTCGTCTCTGCTGAAGCAGGCAAGATAGAGTTTTCATCCTCCGTTATCAGGCGATTGCTTTTTGAAGGGCATGAAAAAGTTGCAGAGAGCGTGTTTATACCTAGATACCGAGTGTACTTTTATCGTAATTGCAAATTCAAAGATAAATTCATGGTAGCACATCACTAAAGCTACATATAAGAGCCCGTTGTGGTCAGCTATAGCCAAGAACCTCGCTCACATGGTATATCGAAAATAAATATTCTTCATATCCGTAACATCCTGCTCTCCCAGCTCCTTACCCCGTCGTTCCTGCTCCTCTTTGGAGATCCCCATGCTCAGTACAATGCGCTCCCTGCGTCGATTCTCCCACATATACCATCCTCTCCATAGAAGAATCACAATTGCCTCGAGAGCGAAACATACCGAGCAGGCCACCGTTCCTGACACATACCGGGGCGCATCTTTGGTCCTGAACACTTGCGCACCTGCCATATTCCCGGCGCAATACGCGATCAAAGTCATAGCGGAGACAACGGTTTGCTTGGTCTTTCCTGCGACATTGGAGGGG